AATAAGCTTATTCGACATTCGACTCAAGTAAAGTCCAGATGGAACATTTTCGGGAAAGTTTCAAAATGTTGCTCATAGCCTGGACATGTTCCGTCTAGCTAGATGAAACATTTCTCGGAAGCCTCCGGCTTAAAGCAGTGCAACTAGAATCTCGTTTCTCGGAACTGTCTCGCGTAGCCGCTCGCGTTCCGTAGAACTGATAGCCTCTTTAGATCTAATATTGGGCTTAATAAAATATGATTGTTGTCCGATTAATTGCGATTTAAATTCTTTTAAGTTTTGTTGACACAATTTGCTTTCTAACAGAAAATCTGTATCAAAACTTCCATGCATTTTTTTAATATGCCTTTCAACTTTTTTTTTTTTTAATGTGCCACACTTGCATGACATATATCGCATATACATTTTGCATTCACCATTGGAAAAACTCTGTTCTTCCCATTCTATATTAAAATTGTATCTTTTTTTTCCCTTAAAATTTGTTTTCAAAATTGCACCCCTCTTTTAAAATATGACAGATTACTATTTTTACCACAAAATCACAAGTCACATAAAATTGTCAAGTTGAGTGCTTAAAGAACTTTAGCGACTGCTAGACTGTGGACGTATTCAATGCAGCGAGCATACGTGAACCGGTGAATCTAATCTGGATCGGTGAATAGCTAAATTAGTGAATCTAGTCTAGCTGGCGTCGGTGTTCCATAAATATATTTCTTTTAGTATGCCCGTCTTAGGTCTTAGTAAAGGCAGTCACTCCAAAATGTCTTGATGGTCCAGTGGTCGATCGCGATCTACTTAATGCCCACCCTTATTCTAATCTATGTAGATACCATGCTTATTCAATGAAATGAATTGATAATGGGTTAATTTATTTCAACTGGAAAAGGGCTTGTGTCCTGTAATGGTGTAACTTTGATTCTTAGCATTGCGTTTCCTAAGACTGCAGCTTTATAAATATAGTTATGCGTACTTCCTACACGTGGATTAGATTTACTCATGATTTTCCTATTCCATTATGAATCCAAAAATAAAAATCTGATGTGTACACCATATGACTTTCTTACACGGAATATTAAATTACACGCATTTTTTGCTGCATTTCATTTAAACTTATTTCTTTGAATTTCATTAGGGATACAGTTCTCATTCCATTTATTCAGTTCCCACTTCGCGACAAGGCAAAAATGCATAAAACCTCAAAATATCTTTATCAAAAAATTGAAAAATATAGAAAAATATAAAACATCAAATACTGTTAAAACCATTAAAAGGCAATTTTTACAATTAAAATTAGAGTTTCTATACAAAAACAAGCAATTCGGCCAGCGGGCAAGAAGGCATATTTTTTGGTGCACAAAACTGAAAATTTACTTCTGCGAATCGACACAGAAGGTGCAGAATCTGACTTAATTCACTATTCTGCTATGTTCCATATGTAAACCAATATGGCAGCTTAGGCTTATCTGAACAAATATGGCTTAGGCTTATCTGAACTCAGATAACTTTTAAATTGTTGATAACTCTACAACTATTGCATGCAGATAAATCAAAATTATAAAAACTTAAAAAAATATTCTGAAGAAAAAATAACCGGAAGAAAAGAACAACATAATTCTATCCTTTTTAAAGCAAAAAATGCACACTTTACCAATGTATAAGAATAAAAAAACTTTAGCTCATGGAGCAGAGTAACAGTATGGATATATATACATATATATTGCAATCAAAAATTGCATTTTGATTATTGATATCCATATTGCAATCAAAAAGGGAGGTTCACAACAACAGCATGTTCAACGAAATTGCCTTTTTCACACTTGAAGAGCAAAACTTTAAATGCACTGCTTGTGAAATAGCAGGAAAGATGGACTAATGACTCCACAGGAAGACGGGTCTTCTCTTTCTTCCCAAAAGTTTCACTCAGTCAAAGAAGCACATAGAATTTTTATACTCAATTTTTCACTGGTCATGGACCTATTAATACATATCTCTTTCGATTTGGACTACGTAAGACTGAGCTTCGTTCTTGCGGGGAGTTGGGAGACCCTGAACACTTTATCTTTCACTGTTCATTTACTAAAAAACTTCACTTGAATAAACCTTTAGATCAAGATAGGCCAAAATGGGCTGAACTGATACTAAAAAAACTCTAGTGAGAGTAAGAAATTTAAGGAAATTATGCTTTTCTGTCAGGAATTAAATTTCTCTGTAAATAATTCTCTCAGATCATCTCTATTGGAAGTGAGTAATTGACTTCCACAGCGACTGTTAGATTGCAGCGACTGTTAGATTTTTTACTGCATAACTGTAATTGTTTTACTTATTGTGTTTGATGCTTATTATTGTTCAGTTTTGTTGTTTCCACTACTTATGTTACTGATTTAAAATTAGAAATGATTTTACGTAAAACAGATGTATTTGACATTGAATGTATCTATACTCTTATAAATTGTAACGGTTACTTGTAGCCTATTACTTTCTTATATCGTACGATTAGTTGGTTTTATTTGTGACGCACATAGAATTTGTTGTTTGGTACTGAAATCGTTCTTAATTATGTATAGATCATGATTATTTTGTTTAGTTTTTTTTTTTTTTTTTTTTTTTTTTTTTTTTTTCCAGTTGTGAATTACATTTAAGAGAAAGTTTTTGTGACAATTTTTAATCATTTTGCATACCTTTATGCATTTTGTTTTAATTGAATTGATTCGCTTTGGTGAATTTGATTGGTATTAATTATGCATTATATAGTAAAAATTTGCATTCATGATAGCTGTTTTATATTAATTTTCTTTGCTTTAATGTTGAATGCATTTTGTATTTGATTTTGAAATTCTGTAAAATTTTATGTTGGCATTTTTCTTGTATTGTATTTGTTTTAGCGATGCCAGCAAACCTAATCTAGAATAATTATTTTGTATACCTTTATACACTTTTATGAATTGAATAGTTGACCTGGTTTTGTGGATTTGATTGGTATTACTTGAGTTCTCTATTGTAAAATTTGCATTCAAGGCAGAGTTTTAATAATTTTCTTTGAATTAATTCTGAATGCATTTGGTTTTTGAATTTGAAATTTTTCATTACTTTATGTTGGCATTATTCTTGTACTGTATTTCTATCGCGTTGCCAGCAAACCTGATGTAGAGCTTTTATATTACTTGGAGTGGTTTTGTTTTTAAACCAAATTTATGTTTCGTATTGTAGTAATATCTCAGGTTCAGTGCATTTTATGATAATATTGTTCAGTTATCAAAGTTATTGGTTCTTAGTTCCGAATTCATATGACGAAATATTATTTATTATTGTCTTAGTTTATCTGCATGCATTTTTTCTAAATTGAATAGTTCTTCTTGATATTGTGAATATAATTGAAATTAATTTGTGTATAATACAGTAATGGATGTATTATATTTTGTCATCATTTATAGAAATCTATTGAATATATTTTGATTTATGTACTGACCTCTGATTGTCTCAATATGCAGCTACTGCTGTTTTAAGGCAGGTATTTTCACATTTTTAACTGTGCAATATGAAGTTGCGCTGTACTGATTGCTTTTGTTAGAATAATGTGTTTTTGGTCTTTGATGAAAGATACTGTTAATCAATAACTGTGATTCTGTATTCAGGTCCTTAAGATCATTTTGGTCTTTTGCGTTGTTATCATTAAAGTTGGATGATATGTCGCATTTAATCGGGTTCCACCATTTGCAATTTTATTTTTGATTGTATTGCACAATTTTGTATTTGATTTTTGAATCATATGAATTTTTTTTATAAAAGGTACCTAAAATTTTGCATTGATTAATATTGTATATTGTTATATAGTATGATTTTGTTCAATGGTTTATACTCTTCACTAAATTGAACATTCGTTATCTAAAATGTCTATCGTCCCATTTTTCAACATTGAAGTAAATTTTATTTAATGTTGTTTTTATGGTATAGTGTATTTGTTTTGATACAAATTGATATTCATGAAAACTGTCTATATTTCTGATTTACTTGATGCATTGGTAACCTTCTAATGCAAGGGGTCATAGCATTATGCTCATGCATGTTCATGTATATAGTTTTGATGTTTTCATGCATGAAGATAAGTTTGATTCACTAGCCCAATGTTAAACATTGATTTTTGACCAAATGTTATTGTATATGGTTTCATTTTTGTTTCCTTTTGGATTGTCACATGTTTGACCTAATAGCATTGTCTTGATCTGGTATAAGTTTTTATTGTTATGTTCTTGTGTATATCTTTTATGGAGATTTATCGTTTAGCTGGCAATGTAATAACTGATTATGAAATTTTATATTTAAAGGGGAATTGTCACAAGTTTATGGGCTCGTATCTGTATAGCGTAGGTACGCAATTTCCTTATTGCCATTGATTTATTTTTGAAGTTGGAGTTAATAGACTGTATTATTATTTTTCTTCTATTATGGTATTAAATCTGAAATTTGAAATCTTCTGATTACTGTATTTCATGACTATGTTACTTATGTTCTTGAAGGCCTTGTATGCCACTGTAAACTTATTTTGCTTAGTGATAATAAATGGCTTCTGGAGGCAGGGGCTTTAATCCGTGTAAGGCAGGCATGTCAGCTAGGTAATGGAGCTCTTGTTCTCTGGTTAATAGTCCTATATACAAAATTTTAACGTTCTGTGGCTACTCGATTTTGAGTTATGAAAAGATACATATATACGTCACCAAAAATCTGTCCTAAATCCATTGTAAATCCTTTTTGCAACCCGTTTTGGGAAATGGAGTCCTCTATTCTGTTCTTACGTACAAATGTTATGCATAAACATCGTTAAATTGCATTCGATCGCGGTGAAAATGGATATTTTCGTTGGAATATGATATCCGAAAATTACAATACTTCCTTTACTTCGTACAAGGAAGTACAAATTAACATAAAAATGATACATAAAGAAAAGCATAAAAGTATGCGTGTATAAAAGAAGTAAGTGTACGAAAGAAGAAATGCATACTTACATTCTCGTACTTCAGGAAAAATGAGTACTGAGGATGAGGAACAATTTTATACATTCCTATTTCTCCATGAGGCAATACAGGTACTTTACATGAGTCTGTAATAACTAGGAAAGAATATCTGAATAAATTAATTACAATACAGAACTGTATTATTAGGTTACATAGAAATATCTGACAGCCTTTGAAATATATCTGAAGCATATATCCTTTTCGCTGCTAATCAAGTAGCCAAGCCAGGAACAAAGCGAACAGGAAGTGTAAAATTTTCATGAATGGAAGAATACGGTGGGCCATACAAATTATTATATTTTACAGTACTTGTATGTTACAGGCGGCAATAAAAGTTCTCGCAGAAGTAAAATGTTTTGAGGTTTATCTATTTATTTAAACTAATAGTTTTTTTTTAAGTTGAAAGACTTCCCTACTACCTTTTTTCACCCAAGCTTTTCATGCTACGATGCAAATGAGATAACGAGAGTTTATTCAGATTAAGGTAGAAAGAACTGCTATTTAAGCAAGAGTTTTGGAAGTTAGTTTTAGAGCGAATCTGCCTATTCTAGGCCACGTTGTGCTGTGATTATTAGCGACTTGAGTTACCGGCGTTGTCTGTTCTAGCCATTTGGCTTGTCTCGTCGGTTTACTACAAACAAGAGCTTTTCCTGCGCGTTTAAGTATTCTTTGAGCCGTCAGCCTAATCGACTACACCATGAAATTATTATTTGTTACATATTTCTGTTAAGCCAGAAGTGCTTGGCTTATTGTAATTCAAGTTGGGTCAATTGTTATGTCTGAATAAAAGGGTCTTATACACCCTTCTGGTTTCTGTTTTGTTTCACAAGGTTAGAACATAATTCTTCAGTACTTTTTTTTATAGTATATATTGTATGTTTTCAAAGAGACATATGCTTTCACTGGTGCCCGAACAGTAAGAATTAATAAGTCGCAGGACTCACCTTTAACAATTTTCTACTTCAGCCGTCGACCCATGACCCTTAGTGCTCGAACACGCATGGATGAAAGCGGGGAGTTTTGGCGTTAAATTTTTTTGCTTATCAGACAGAACAAAAAAAGCTCCGAACGGACAGGTAACATGCGCGGTCAAGCTGATAGCCAGACGCAATGAAAGCAAAGGGCGGCGAAGGCCGTCTGAGTTGGGATCCTGGGGCTTTCGCGTCCAAGGAGCACCAACGACCCGTCCTTTCCGATTTACCTCGGTTGGGCGGAGTATGAGCGTACACGTTGGGACCCGAAAGATGGTGAACTATGCCCGGGCAGGACGAGGCCAGAGGAAACTCTGGTGGAGGTCCGTAGCGGTTCTGACGTGCAAATCGATCGTCAGATCCGGGCCTAGGGGCGAAAGACTAATCGAACCATCTAGTAGCTGGTTCCCTCCGAAGTTTCCCTCAGGATAGCTGGCGCTCGAGATTCAGTCTCATCCGGTAAAGCGAATGATTAGAGGCCTTGGGGCCGAAACGACCTCAACCTATTCTCAAACTTTAAATGGGTGAGAAGTCTGGCTTGCATGACTGAAGCCCGGACAATTGGATGAGAGTGCCCAGTGGGCCACTTTTGGTAAGCAGAACTGGCGCTGTGGGATGAACCAACTGGAACGGAGTATCGGATCCGCGACGAGAAACATGAAAGGTGTTCGCTTACTCTAACAAAGACGTACGACATGGGGCATATTAGTTGTCGGCCTGCTGCCTTAACACTACAAAACCGCCGTAGAAATAAAAGCTATTTCCGCATCGGGATCGACGTGCTAGGGCCCTTTTCCGGGCAGCGAGATAAATAAAAATCGTTATTTACTCGTTATAGTAGATCATTTTTTTTAAATGGGTTGAAATAGTCCGCCTGAGAAGAAACAGCCTTGGCAAAATTAGTAACAGATTCCTTTTTAAATAAATATGCCTTAAACTACTGAGCTCTTAAAATTAACTTCTGATAATGGCAAACAGTATGTGTCCTAAATATTTGAAAGGCTATGTATAGGAATTAGCAAACGTTATATAAAAATAGTATTTTATCGGCGGCAGTCCAACATAACAGAAAGGGTAAGCAAGAATATAGTGAAAATAACACGCTGCTACGGGATAAATTATCACAAGCTCTGGAATAACGGGGTCAATGAGTTGGCTTATGCATTACGGACAGCGAAGCATCACACTATAAAGTCCAGCTGAGTTATTCTTAGGCCGAAAGTTAATTACACCGCTGGAGAAATTATTTTTTGTACAGAAGAGAGCCTCGGAATTCCAAATGAAAGATATCCAAAAACTGACAGACGAAGCAGTTGAATGTTCGGATAGCGCAAGGTAGAAAGCAAAAGGTATCACGATATGAAGCAGAGAGTGGCAAATTATAAAGTGGGAGATTAAGTGCTAAAAATAAAGCACTCCCAATCACCGTCAGGTGACGAGCAAGTTGCCAAATTTTTTCCCAAGTTTCAGAGACCCTGCATTATGGAACGACAAGCGGAGTAGAAAATGCGAATAAAGGTAAAAAAACAAACGGAAGCAAGAAAGCCAAAGCAGCCAACACGCAGAGACTCCAGGAAGCGACAGCAGCCACCAAAGGAGTTAGAAGGTACGATAAAAAGCCGAAAAAAAGCTACAGCAGCAGCCCCAAAGTATGGAGAAGATCCCATGTCAAGACAACTATAGAATAAACGCCCAGCCGACCAAGCTGCAGAGGCGCTAAGGAAAACCCAGCGTGGCCAACTTCTCGATCGATAGAGGGAAGGTCCAGCAGAAAGTTCAACGAAGTGTAAACAAGGGATTGAACCACCTGAGCCACAGCTTCGCCAGAAAAGGCCAAGGTTCCGGGAGGCAGCAAGGAAGGGGAAGCTCAACGAAGGACAGGAAGAACAACCGTGGCAAAGGCTAAGGGTCCGGCAGATGGAGGTCTATCCCAGCTAGGATCAGTTCATTAAGAAACAAATGGAAGAACATCAAAGATCGAAAATATAAGTTCAATTTTATTTTCACCTTAGTAAAGTTCAGTTTTATTTTATATCTAGCAGGACTAGTTGTTAAATTCGTTTAACTTTTACCTCAAGGGAGTTTATTCTAGTGCATTTCAACGAGCAAAATGGCGCAACAAATAACAGTTTATCTCTAGTACGAGTCATACCTCTTTTGTTAAAATTTCAGCTAAATAAAAAAGATTGTTCTCGGGTTTGTGTCATACTATTTCAGATGTAGCGATAACTCTCTACTGTCTAATAGGGGTTGTAGGACTAAAACTTATGTATCCAATTCAACTACAATCTTATAACTTATCTAGATGGGAGAGATCCTGACGATCTCTCTTCACTACTGCATCATGATGAGGGACGACTGAGGTTGGGCTAACAAGAGCGGGCAACTCAAAAAGACACCGTTATAATTTTTTAAGATTCTCCTTGTTGGCCAAGATATAAGGGTTCTATGGTATAAAGTTGCCAGCGCCGTTTTCCCGCTGAGAGATACTCCAAGATACAAGACAGCTATGACGTAAAGGCACGAATATGCCCTGCATTCGGTTTGCATGCAACAGGAATTTGACGTCTATTATAAGGTACCATTGCGTATAATTCCGATTTGACAGCACACTGCAGCATAGTGTGAAACCATATAAGGTTCACACTGCCTTATGCTACCCGAATACACAGGTGCTCGATTCGTGCTTTGGCCTGCGCGTTCTGCAGACTTCTGATAAATCTCAATTGAAGAGAACCCCCCAATGTAAAGTTTTAGATTAAGCAAAAAAGCAATCTTAGTTCGTATATATCGTTAGTTCATAGACGCTTGGTCGTAGATAATTTCAGAAAATTTATTTTCAAGACAAAAATTTTACACAATTTGCTTCCCTAAAGGAAAAGCTTCTCTCTGGTCGCACTCAAAGTCGATAGAGTTATTCCAAATACACGTCAAAGGCGGGTTATTTTGTTTCATTTTAAATGGCTGCCTGATCATATTGATCGAATTATTGATGTCAATGAGCGTATTTTCCACGGGTTTCGTAAGGCCCAAACGGGCGAGACTTAGGGATATCGATGGTAATATGAGTACAATAACATTAAATGTGATTACACTAAGCAGCATCAGTACATAATTTCTGGAGTAGAACCGATGCCACATTGACTGCGATATCCACGACTGCTGTCAAGCATTTATGCCCAGCAATACAACACCAGTTACTGGACCAGAAGCAGCAGCTGAGTATTGATTTCTCCATATTCTACGCTTCTAAATGTCCAGCAAATTTTAGAATTTTATACTTTCATTATAATGTATCTGTAAAATATACATTTTGCAAGCTGCGTTCCTTTCTGATGTTGCAATTATAATAGTCAATAGTGTAATTTACATATTTTGGAAATAGTTTTTGCTGAAAATGGTAAGGGAATCAGCATGAGACAGCAAAGCTTATTTTGTTACTGTTACATTTTAATAGAGATAATTTTAAATGTTCATGAACTTAATATACATAATATTTTACCGTGAAGTGTTGCCAATCAATGCAGTTTAGTTCTAATTATGGACAAATGTAACTGATAACATCTGCCTTACGGTTAATGTAATTCCCATTGACTCCCCATAATCCATAAGATACGTTTTATTTCATGAACAAGGATATTATACTGCTATTCCAGTATTTGTTTAAATACTGGAATAGCAGTATAATATCCTTGTTCATAAAATAAAACGACAAAACAAATACTGCTATTCCAGTATTTGTTTTTCATTTTGAATAAAATGACTAAAATTTAGGACCGGCGTTCCAAAGCACAGCAAGCAGTGAATTAAAAATGTTTTCAATGTTATAAGATTTAACCTTAAAAATGTGCGTATTAATGGACACGATATACGTGTTTTACAAACGGCTAAACAATGGCCATGCAAATGCGAAATATAATGAAAGGAGAATATTCATTCGAAACGAAACGTGGTTCGAGGAATATAGAATCACATTTATGACTGCACACAGGTTCATTTACAGCTGACAGAAAAAATTAACACCTGATCAATAGGGAAAGGAGCAGCTGAATATGCCAGATAAAACAGCAACAGATTAGAACTACCATTCTAAACAGGTCTTCTGGTAAAATTTGGCGCAAATATTAAATGATTACTTTGTCATTTGCTTAAATAAGTGTTTGTTTCTGAAATAATTACATTTGTCGGGGATATAGAACATCCCTTACCAGTGCGCTAATATCCTAACTGTTCTTCTCCCCTCGATCTCGTTGTGCAAAGGGAAAATGCAATAGTGCAAACATTTAGACTACATAGCCCACACACTTTGACACTAATACATCTCTGTGGGACAGAGAAGTCATCAGCTCTGATTATGAGCGCAATAGCCCAACAGTGCCCTGCCATCCAACAGAATTTGATCCTCATAGGATACTACAAGCTCCATCAGCTTTCGAGTCATGTGCGGCATATACTGATGGATCAAATGGTGAGTACAGTCTGTGCGATACAAGGCAGTAGCAGTGTATTTACCTGGGCACGAATATTAAATTCTACCAATGTAATGTTCCGAGCTGAGCCTGCAGCAGGTCACTGCAGCATTCTAATTGGTCCCGAACTAATCAATTTTTGACTCTACGTTAACTCTTCACTCTATACTGGATTGGAAACGTAGGAACACCGTAGTCAAGGAGATTCAGACAATGCTACTCTCTTGCCGACTCAGACCAAAACTCCAATGGTCCGTTCACACAGTGGAGTACACGGCAATGAAATATCAGATGAAATTGCGAAATTGGCAACCACAAAAGAATGAACTCGGGTACTATTATAAGGTATTTCTCCCGCCTTCCTAGCGTGCCTTCGTGGTGTAGTGGTTCTGCAGGCTGGGCCGGTATCCAGAAGTCCGCGGTTCGATTCCCGGCGAAGGCGGTTGCTATTTTTTCATCTCTCCGGCTTCCAAAAAATCTTAATGTCTCTACAGTGGCGACCGAACTAAAAGGGTGATGAATGATGACTCTCTACACTCAGGATTTAGGGATTGGGCCCCTAAAAACCCCAGTCGCCCTTTAAAAGGGGAAGTATATCCCACCTTCTTGGCGTGCCTTCGTGGTGTAGTGGTTCTGCACACTGGGTCGGTATTCTAGAGGTCCGTGGTTCGATTCCCGGTGAAGGCGGTTGCTATTTTTCATCTTTCCTGCTTACAAAAATACCTAATGTCTCTATACTGTACCTATAATGACCAATGTTGCACATGAAAACGACCGCTAAGGCTCTTTGATGGAGCAGTGGCAAAGTTCCCCGGATAACTACGACATTGGCAAGAGAATATATAATTACCTTTCCAATATCAGAGACTAATTACTCAGCGGTATTTCTGAGTTGACACAATTCTTGACGTGACATGACCCATACATGAGTTATTTGTGTCGCTTTAGCTTACAAAACATTGCGCAGTGTATTTGCGGAGAGATTGAAGACCCCGAACAATATATTTTTGACAGTCCACAAACAAGTGCTTATCATCTCTGCATTCCTTCAGTTGAAAACAAACATGAATGGGCAAATAACATCTGCTGCAACACATACGCGCTCAGGCGTATCCAGAAATTCACTGAAATTGCTCTCGGAATCTCCAATCAACTAAACAGCTAGATGGCATCCTGATATAGTTAAGGACAGTAAAAAAAAATGCCATAAACTTGAAAATGCAATATGCGTATTTGTGAAACATAGTGGTATATCAGCAAACAAAATTAGAATCACTAGCAGTGCTTAAGCAGTCTAGTAAGCACCCTCTTCTTGGTCGATATGTTGAAGCTGAAGCTCCTCAGGTGCTGTTTCAATATATTCAGTGATAGGATAAGAGAAAATTTAATTTGTGTTCAGTTTTCTTAAATTTCTGAAATCATTTTATATCGTCGTCCTCCAGATTCTGCAGATGATCCCTAATCTTATCAGACTTGTAACTTGTCTTTTCAGGCACTATCTATTTTTATAATAAATGGAAATGACAAAAATTCCCTTCACCTGCTTGGTTTGCAAATAGAATTAGCTTTCCTTTGAATGATTTTACATGCTTTCACATTTCATGCGCAAACAACACTTTTGTCAATAATGTCGCATTGAGTTCATTCAGTTTCTTAAGCTGTTCATCAGCTGTAAACATCATCTCGTACCTCCTCGACTCACATCATATTTTTGTAACAAAATAAGATATATCTTTCGTGTCCAGGAATAACAGTTCTTAGTAATTCTGCAGTTCCCTTTTTATCACTTTACAATGATATCAGGCACGCAAATGACCTCACATTCTTGGGTAAATTACGTCTTTATACACTGCCTCCACATCGTCAAGAAAAGATTTGAACTGTTGATGGTGGATTGCCCTTGTTATGACTGTGTTCACCACAAAAACAATAGGACATGCGACATGTTTTCAGTCCAGTGGAATTTATACAGGCTTTCATGATGCAAAATGCCGTTAAAAGACAAGACATTGCTGCGTCGTGTGCTTGTAACTTGTCTTTTAAGAGCTTAACTAAAATTTCTTTCACTGAAAGCTTGCAGAGGCATTAGGTATTTTTTGGAAGCAGAAGACTTCAAAAATGAGCAACGCCTTCGCCGAGAATCGAAACAAGGGCCTCTGGAATACGCTCCCAGCGTGCAACCACTAGACCACGAAGTCACGCTAAAAAGGCGGGAGAAATACCTTATAAGCTCTGACCCTTGCCATTTTGTTCCAGAATATGCGACATTTCTGCACACAGTTCACAGCACACTCAACTATGTCCGGACCAGTGCTTCTATTTTTCATTTGTTCCAGGCCAAGTAACTCCTCTGTGTTGATGAAATTTCTATAAATTCCATTGATAAAGATAAGTAATTGTGCAGTGTCTTCGTTTTCTGTGCTGTCATCGAGTGGTGCCAAAGAAAATGAAACAAAATCTTTGTTCGCAGTCTTCAGCTGTTCTGTGAGTTCGTCACTAATTGAGTCAATGCGCTGCACTAGAGTTATTATTGAAAACGAAATGATTTCAAATTTGCTTCTTAGATCAGCACACAATACGCATGCACACTGCAAAATGCCATTAAAATAAAAGATGTCGCTGTGTAGAAACTGCCCTTAATATACTCGCTATCTGAAAAAGGCTTGTTGCGTTTCGCACGTTTGTAGGCTACCATGAAACTTTCTTCTGTAGCGCTATTTTGAAGTGTTGATTGTTTTGTAAATTATGTATATTACTTCTTCAGCTTTTTCACACACTTTCATTTTACGTCCTTCCTTGGAAGGTTTGCAACCAAATTACTTGTTTTTTGTTTCGAGGTGTCGTTTCAGATTATACTCCTTAAATACGGCTGTGATTTCATGACACAATAAACACGCTGATTTATTCCATGTATTCTGAAGAAAATATTTATTTGTCCATTCTGTATTAAATATAGACATTCATCACCGATTTTACGTTTTTTCGGAGAGTTCATGGCTTCACTAAAGTTAAAAATTTACTTATTTATTGTTATGAAGACAAAATTGAAATAATGATCAGATAAGATAAGAAAGCCTGGACAGAAAATAAGCCAGTGGCGCCATCTGTCGATGAAATCAGAACTAAAACATAATTTCTTTAAAGGCCGAAGACAAAGATGGATAGGAATTTTAAATTAAATTCTTGAATAAATCAGCCAAGAAAGGACTGCGCAGTATCTATACTGCGCATGCCGTACCAGTAGGAACTACGAGACGAATCTTGGATCACATACGGGAAAGAACCTCTGTTTAAAGAGCAAATTTCTGGCTATCTTGCTGCCACAAAAAAATCTTGGCTGGCCTTTGTGGTCCATGGGCCGCTATTTACCCAGTCCTGCCTTAGAAAACGCTACTGTGTCACGTGTTCAAAGAACTGTTAAGTTATGAGAAAAAGAGCTGAAACAATAAGCTTTAAATTGGTTGGTTCTTTGATTCCATTTGAGTTCTTTGTTTGAGATACCATCGTCATTTACTTCAAGGTTAATGGTTATTCATAAAGGTAAATGCGTATTTTAGATGGAAATGTGTAATTTACAGGGCGTGTCCAAACCAAAGATTCCCAATCACTTTATGAAAGGTGTTTTTTTTTTTTTTTTTCCACAACCTCCTTACATTTATTTGTATAATATTCAGTATACGATATAATCGTAATACAAATCATCGTACTTAAATAATTAAAAAACTTAAAGGTAACAACTTGATTAAGAACATGAACAAACGTTTCGAAAAATAATTTCCTAGCGTTGTATTTAATTATTTTTGATATTGTTATCATTTGTTTTCGGAAAAAATATTACACATTTTAATTTCACAAACACATTCCTACCTTATATTTTCCTAACTAGATGATATAACGTTATCTTAATGAATAACTAATCATCAACTTTTAGCAAATCTATTGTAATTAATGGATAATGGGACTATGCCGATCAATTCACGCTTCATATTCGGATGGCGCTCTCCCAGTTGACCCTTTGATCATTGTTGATCTCCTTTAAAATTTCGTCATCCAGCAAGAAGTTAACACAAATTCCTTTGGTAGTCCCTAGTATAAACTATGAATTTTATCCTAAAGTAAATTTTTGTGTAAAGTTATTAACTCATGCTGAAAGTGGAAAACAAGGAGACAAAAATGCACATAATGATAATCTATATATATAAAGAAGAAAGTATGTTTGTTTGTTTGTAGTAAAGTAGTTTACATGTGAACTCACAACGTAGCTCGAAATTTGTAATCCTTGGAGCTAGAGGTAAGAAATCTATACCTCCGAAAATTTTAAATTTAAGTTCTTGAAATGATCACTCTAGGCTTTGAATAAAAATAAAGATGAAAATCTATACATTTTTCCAAACTTACAGAAACATCTGGGAGTTGGATTTGTCCAAGTTCCCTCTCCACTGCATTCGGATGTCGCAGAACCATGCAATCTGTATTTATACCTGCAGGAATATTTCACAACGCTTCCAGCCTCAGGTTTGTCGGGCGTAAGATTGAAAAACCCATTTTCTGGTGCAACGGGAGGCTCACACATTTTCGCTGAAAGGAAATAAGTCGTTTGTAAGTTACGCAGTTCTTTATCTGTTAGTTATCATTCATTTCTCATTTGTGCTTAGTTATACTTATTCAGAGGTCAAATAACAAAAATCAGCGTTATATTTTGAAATTTTCACAGGACTAGTTTCGATGGTTTTACCGAACCATCATCGTCAGCTGCAGCGCAAATGAACGAGATAGGATATAATGATCAGATAAGATAAGAAAGCCTGGACAGAAAATAAGCTAGTGGCGCCATCTGTTGATGAAATCAGAACTAAAACATAATTTCTTTAAAGGCCGAAGGCAAAGATGGATAGGAATTAGGATCGTTAACTAGAACAGAACGATTTTTTTTAATGTAAAATGCCTCTAGAAAATCCAGTTCTCCAATGGAAGATGTTTTTTGAATAATTTTCGCAGCAGAAAAATTGACAGTGTGATTTTCGGAGCAACAATGTTGGGCAACAGAAGACTTCTGTGTTTCCTTTTTTCTAACACATGCCTCGTGTTCCTTGACGCGAAATTTTAAGACTTTCTTAGTTTGGCCAATGTAAATTAAACGAAGTTTTCCGAGTTCCATACTCAAGGACCCCATTCCGGATATGAATTCCTGGGATATTTATAGGATTCCTTGCTAGTGTGGTTTAATTTACATTAGCCTAACGAACACAGCCTTTAAATTTCGCGTCAAGGAACATGAGGTATATGTTAGAAAAACATTATTATTACGTACATTAAGCGTTAAGTAAGACCGCACGATTAATTTGAATGACGCAGTTTAGACTTATGGCGTTATTTTTATACAGAGACAGGAAATCCCCAAATTAAAGAAGAAATAAAAGAGGTTATAGACAAATAAATTTAGAAGTTTGCTTTCATATTTTTTATCTTACACTCACACATATATATATAAACACGTATATAATATAGTGCTGAAGGTAATGCACAACATTTCATCGAAGATCCGGATTATTGCGACATGTTAGGGAAAAACATGGTAACATACAGGAATTCTACTGCCGCAATAAAAAGTTTAGATTTGCAATGGATTTGGTGAGCTTTATAAATGGCAACAGAACGTTACTCGGAATTTGATATTTTTTTGACTGTATTTCTGTCTTAATCTATAATATTTTGTTTTAATTTTTAACTGAATTTCTCTGTCTGCGTTGGATACCCTGCGTTAACCAAGAGACCGATTACTATCGGTCAAAATAGTTGCAGTACACTCGCATATTACATTATATTACGTACATATTGCATGGTTCGATTAGGGTTATATTATGTAAAGCTAAGGCTTCATAACAAAAATTTAAATTTTTAAACAAGAAAAACATGATTATTACATAAGTGCATATTGTGACAGAAGAAAAACTGTTACTTGATCCTACCATTCTAAATAACTTCAACTCACAAAGGAAAAAGTCAAACCTCACTCTTGCATCTCTTGAATTTCATCACGTGACTTTTTTTCTCCAGTGTTGCCAATATATTCAAGAAAAGGTAACGTATTCAATTCCTGCTAGCCTGTATTCAGTTCCTGTACACACACACACACATACACGCAACACACACTATATATATATATATATATATATATATATATATATGTTGAGTAGTGTACTATATAGCTGGCAGACAGAGATATAGATAGATAGATACAGAAAACTGTTGTTATGTGCATATGCATCTCTTATATTTGTGCATATACAGGATGGTTCAAAACTATATGTCAAAAATGTAAAGGCAAGTAGAGGGGATCTAAATAAGCAGATTTTGTATAGGAATGTGTGTGCGGTAACGCCATGTTGAACCGATAGAGAGCGCTGATGAGTACGATGTATAAAAGCGCTGCGCTAGCTGGATTCTTCAGGTTCCTCACGGATCTCGAGTAGCATGCATCATTGCACTAATGCGGAGCTTACCGACATGCATTTCATGTATGGGGCTGCACAAGGAAATGAATTAGCTGCTTAAAGAATGCATAGAGAGCGATTCTGCATTACCTGAACTTTCAGCCGAATTTCCTCCAGCTGCACGCAAACGAATGTGGTTCCAGCACGATGGAGCCCCAGCTCACTTCAGCCGGAATGCCAGAAATCACCTGGAGGCTGTCGACGGCGAGCATTGGATAGGACAAGGAAGCACAGTGCCTGGCCACCGCGTTCTCCTGATTTAATCTGCTTGGAATTTTTCTTTTGGAGTCATATTAGAGGCCTCATGTACCCGAGAGCCCTGTCACATCTGCAGAAATTCTTGTTGCCCGCTTGTCTGTTGCTGCTGGACACGTGCTCGACATGCCTCATGTCTTTTCTAATGTACGCCGATCCAGGCGCCGCCACTATGAATATTGTATCGCGGTTGGTGGCCGCTCTTTCAAGCACCTATTGTAACAAACTGTTAATATTTTTTTCTTTTTTACGTGCTAGCACCTTAATGCGCCATTACCGCACACACATTCCTATACGAAATCTGCTTATTCAGGTCTTCTCTATCTGCCTTTACATCTTTGACATACAGTTTTGAACCATCCTATATACATATATATATATGGTCATCCGCTCTCTTCTACCACTTCTTCCATCATCCCACATATGGCAACGGCAGCAGCAACTAGATGTCTCCGAAAGCTGTGAGATAAAATTCGTCCTTCTCTCCCGCGTGAGAGGATTGCGAGAGACGACGTTGGGCCACTACGCAGGGAGCACGACGATGCAGCTCGATGTAATTGAACAAAAAGGACTGTGACCGTTTCTTAGATGACGTGATGCTATTTCTTTTTATGATGAACTGAACCTTTTACCTCGTTTTCCACCTTACTTCCTTTCATCTTGAACATATCATCATCATGTTAACTATTTCGCTATTAAAAAAGCTGTAAAATGCCACTACTTTCTTCATTAGTAAACCTAACATCATCCCACATGGGGGCTCATCCCCTTGAACTCTTTCGACATCTTTAAACTATGTGACATTCTTTACTAAATTCCCCTAGACGTCTGCAGACAAAAATTTTTCGTGTTTCTCATCAAATGCCGTGATGACTTGCCATTGTTGTGATTCGTCAAAACGTAAGTACAGATAATTTTATTTGATAGCATAATACTTGTGATGAAATAATGAATAAGCTAAGCGAAGTAATGCTATTCTTTGATGATGTTCTTATGCATATTTGATGAAGTTTAATTCTAACGACATTTGAATTTGATAAAAATTAATTGAAGAGTATTCATGAAGTTTAATTGAATAAACTAAAGGTATTTGATCTTGGTGAAAATTAATTGAAGAGCATTTAAAGAGTTGTTGATGTATTAAAAGATTACTTTAAGAATTAACACTTTCGTTTTCGAATTTGATGCACATATTTCTTTATTTCATGTGATGCATATATTTTGCAAGGCTATAAAAACGTATTTGTTACGTTTTTATAGCCTTGCAAAATATTTGATGCACATATTTCTTTATTTCATGTGATGCATATATTTTGCAAGGCTATGAAAACGTATTTGTTAGCCTTGCAAGTTAAAACGTATTTGAAGTTACTAATTTTGATATACTCTCTTAACGTGAAACTATATTTTCTATTCTTAACATATAAGAATTTCTCCATTACTTAGTTATATTTTACCATTTGTTTGAATCGTAACTTCACAATTTCACGTATAATTTTTGAATATTTTAACATCATAGTTAATGTGTAATAAACAAAGAGGAATTAAAATTATTGCGAAGCATAAGAAAAATTAAGAATATATTTTGGCATGAAACATGGAAGCTTGGCACCCTCATGAAGGAAGCGAGAGAAGGACTGTCCAGGGCGGAAAATTGAGTGGAGAGTTTGGCATTGGTCACTGATTCCTCTCCTTAATCGAATTAATTTTACTTAAAAATTTCTTTTTATTATTATAGATATGCTGTGTGTTCCTAAAACCAGGCGGAATGGATGTTTGGTTTTTACCCCGCTGAAAAAATGTCTACTAAACCCGTTTGCTCCTTACTATAATTGTGAAAATGTCTTAAGTAATTTGTGGGGGCCCCAATTTGATTAATTATAAATAATTTTGAATGATATGTTTTTGGTACTGTTTCTTTCTAAAACTTAGTCAAACCACCATACGCTGTAAACTATTCCTGTTACGTAAATTCAAAACATTAGACGTTTAACTTTAATTAATTTGTTTGTTTCATTTACTATTCATACACTGGACTGAATTTACCTTTAACCTAGGTTTAATTTCCTTACTTTAAAATCACAATGCAGCCGTATTTTGTTTCTATATTGTTAACTGATGCTATGTTACATCTATGTTTGTAATGATTATATGTGTACACAACTTAACCTTGTTCAGTGCATATTGTTTCGGCATGATAAACTCTAGTTATGTTCAGTGAGCAGTTTGTACATTTATCTATGGTGCCAGTAATATTCAAAAGTAGTACACTATATTTAACAGTTAGAAATAGGGTGAAAATCCACTTTATTTAACTTACGTAAACGTAAACATCTGGGAATTGAATTTGTCCATCTTCTCGTTTCAGTGCACTCAGATGTTGCAAAACCTTCCAGTTTGAAACCATCCTTACAGGAATATTCGACAGTGCTCCCTATCTCAGGTTTGAGAGACTTTAGATTGAAGAACCCATTTTCTGGTGCACGTGGCAATGAACATAAGTTATCTGAAAGATAAATCGATCCATTACTTAGTTATATAAAAACTCAAATTAATAGTCTTGCGAATTTTGTATAATATATCATAAAACGTCTAAATGGGCGAAACCCTGCCGAGAAAACAAGACTACAAGAGTAAGGCTAAGATTGAGACAAATGGCTGTCTAGCTAAAACTACTAAGATATCGCTAAGCTAGCGATGGTTTTGGCAACTAATTTTTGTCGTCAAATGTGGCGAAAAATCGCCAAACGTCCCCGATCTTGCCGATTATTTAGCGACATTTTGGTTCGGTTCCTGTAACTGTTGCTATAGTTGAGCAAGTGAAATTGATCCCTGCATGTAACTGCAACAATAGCAGCCCCACAGGTTTAACTTTAACCGTATATCCCATATAGTAGTTTCGATAAATGGAAGGTTATGAAAACTCCTCGGATGCTGGGGAAAACTACATAAGACGGGAAAAACATTAATTCTCGTTTTTACTTCAGAGTTGACTTCGGAGTACTGCGATATCTCCGTTCGATTTTCGTTATTTAGAGTCGCTTAGCACTGCACTGAATTTAAAGACCTTAGCAGTTCAAACTGATAGTGCTCTGTAATATCGAGAAGAGTTGTACGAGTATTTTTCTGGAAAGTTCCAGAACTGTGAAGTGTTTCTTTTGGTAAAATAAATTTTATCAAGTTATCGTTAGTTCTAAGTGCATTCAATCCATTACGAACCCGTACGCGCATAACGGGTTTTGGTGGGATTGAATGCCGGTAACAAGAGTGACGAAGGAGCAAGTACGACAGCTGGTGGCAGCCTTTCCTGCGTTCAAAAAAGTGAAAAGGTAAAGTGGGCCAAAAATTCGTTAAAGAAAAATGGAAGCTGTTAAAAAAGGAGAGATGAAATTGGTGAAGAAATGGTGGAAGGGGAAGAAATATTGAGGTAGGTCCAGAAGAAATAAAATTAGAAATTATATTATAATCCAAAAATCGACATGAGGGTTTCTGCTGCGTTTGCTAAGGAATTTGGCAAATTGAGCACATCCTTAATAATAGATGGTCACAATTCAAATGCCTTTAAACTGGCACATAAACTGTTCCGATCCTCTCTGTAGCTATCTACGAATGATGGAACTGCCTCCTGGCAAGTGTACAAGACTCAGTTATCTATAGCGGCAAACGCAAATACGTGAGATTAACAAGCTAAGGCATGCCACCTCGAGCAAGCAGACGCAGCGGATAATCTCCAAACTCTGCCAAAGAGCCAGAGGATAAATTTCGAACCTCTATTCCGATGCGGTGGAGCGGCGCTTTGACGAGGAGTGTTTAAAATACTGTAGCAGGAGGTTAGTTAAAATCTTACCAACATAAGTCGACAGACACACTTCAAGATCTCGCCAAGGAAGTTGAAAGGCGACCTCGTCTCGCGTTTTTGAACAGAGTAAGAGAGAAAGGGAAAATCCTGTTCCTCCAGTACTTCATCGATATTATCCGGAATTTTGAGTCACAGAAAGCTTTGCGAATGGCTGATATCAAACATCTAAAAAGGGCTTTAGTCTACGCCATGAAATTCGAGACAGCCCAGCAAGCATCTCGTAGACACTGCCACCCAATCAAAGCCTCTCCGTTCCAGCTGTTAGTGGATCAAATTATTTCTCATCTAGATACTTTAAACAGGCGAGTCAATGCCTTGAAACCGAATATGTATGACAGCAAACCGATCCTAAAGTGCTGGAACTGCGGTGATGAAGACCACGCCCAAAGGAACTGCAGAACATCCGAAGGCAAGGAAGGTAAGACCGTTTGCCAACAAGAAGGAAGGAAAGAAACTAGTGCTCATCTCGAAAAGTGGGAGTTGCCATATACTGAGAATCCTCATTTTATAGCGCTTCATATTTCCGTAATAAGTGGCGGTATTAACGGAGCCTTCATCATGATACAAGTGAATGGAGTTCCATGTAATATGACCATCGATAGAGAAGCCAATTTTGCCATCATTGGAAAAGATTTGGCTCAACAATTCGAAAATAAGCTTCCCTGAACGCCGTCCTATTTAACATCACGTTCTGAAGTGCCGCGTATCATCAGAGGGCGTATGTCAAAGATATTACAGACCCTTGAAACGCGGATTACACATTTAAAGTATAATGAATTTTTCTTTGGGCTTTAAAAATAACGAACAGCATTCTATGTCTTTTAATATAAATCTGTTTGGAACTGAAGATGTTAAATCCGTCCACCTAATCATAGCTGAAGTTCTATCAAAAAACAAAAACAGGATTTTTACTATCTGTTTACATAGCTGAAAATAGGAATCTGCGGTACTGTATAATAGAATATCCTCTGCGATACAGTATAATATAATAACTGTAGCAGCCCGAAAGAAGTACTGGTAGAAAGAAGTACCGGCACTTGTCAACCTATTGAGGAAAGTCATCCAGGAGAGAGTTACCAACGTTAGTGATCAGGCAAAAGTGGTTACAGCCGAAAACATTCCGGACGAAAACGTCTTTGTGCAAAACATAGTGGAAGAAAAGAAACCAAAGAGAAAACATCGCAGTACTAAAGCATCGTGATACGAAACATCATCGTCGAAAATAAAACGGTTCTCTAGCTTCGCAATTTAAGAAAATATTATCTTCGAAAATATCGCTGTAAAAAATAAAGCTCCTACAAATCATCGCATGACGATAACATCGCAAACATGTGTTATTCAGGCTTTAGAAGTTGTAAAGGCATATTCACATAATGATTTGTTAGCGCAAGATAGAAAGAGGAAAATATTTATTTTTATAATTCATAATTTTGAATTTCACTAATATATTTTTGCTGAAAATTTGAGAAGTAAACCTGAGCATTTAAAACCTGAAAATGAGTAGAAAATTAATGCAACTTTTAGCACTTAATAAAAGATTTAAATGTACATATTTAACTAATAAAGGTCATAAATAAATTAAACGTTTTTGATAAAGTTTTACTGATATGTTTTCATGAAAAATATTACCTAAAAATGTTCCGAAAAGGAAGATCTGTAACTGCATGAGATTACCTCTAAAAATTGTTTAACTAATTATCAAATTATTTTCTTTCATGTTTGTTGATCTGATTTTCTTTTAGTGAAAGTTATATGTTTTCCCTTTATTCTTAAAATGCCTTTGATATTTTCATGAACGGAGTGCAGTCAATTGCACTGCCCTCCAAAAATTAAGGAACAACAGGCTTTTCAAAGCTCGCCATTGCAATAATGTTAGTAGCGTTTAAATTCACAGTTCATGTGCATGACAGTAAAAAGGTCTAAGAAAATGTGCAAAAACAATAGCTCCATTTTTATTTTATAAAAATGAATACTTATATAGGAGTTGTAGAAAAAATGCAACAATTGTAATTTTTATTCACGAGTGTTGATCTTCAGTTGTTATGACAGTTTCGTGGACAATATACAGGAGAGTCTATTAGTGTCTAGAAGTCGTTTGCCCGATTCTTTGACGTTGTGGGCGATCAGGTGGATGGAAACAAGAATGTCACAAGCTGATGCGGCTGGACGTCTCTGTGTCTCTCGTATGTGGTCCACCTACTGTGGAATCAATTTGAATCCGAGGATTCTGTGTCTAGAAGACATGTTCCAGGTAGACCTAGAGTTACACCCATGCGGGAGACTGTTATTTAACTTTTTCGGCCCGAAGGAGGAGTAATATTACTATTAGCTCATAGCAGATTATTTAGTGGGAACAGGAACTAGAATCTCAGCTACTACAGTGCGCAGGCGCCTGCACAATACAGGTCTGTATGCAAGACGACCAATTGTTTGTGTCCCCTTGATCCGAAGACACAGAGATACCTGTTTATGTTGGGCAAGACTACGCGTCTCCTGGACCAGTCAACAATTGGTGTCTGTTCTCTTCACAGACGAGTCCAGATTCGCACTGGTGAATTCGCACTGGTCAGGTCGTCAGCTGATCTTAAGGGAACAACGCACCAGGAACAATCAAGCTAACGTGGAAAGACACAGTTATTTCGAAGATTGCAATGTTTTGTTGTAATTCGTGCTTGTTTTGAACTTTAGAAACATTCTATGTCACATTCATTAAAGAACAGTTTATTGAACATGTCCTGTAAATTACTTGTGTCTATGTTGCTTCATTCTGAAATGAGACACAAAAGACATGCTGTTCCTTAACTTTTCGAGGGCAGTGTATTTGGATGTCATCATACTAGAAAAATACCGAGAATCTCATGCAGACAGCTCGTTCTCCGTGTCGAAGAACCAGTGTTCAACGACTTTAAGCTGGGGGATATTAACGAAAACTAGTTCCTTTTACATCAGTCCGTTGAATATTCAAATTAAAAATCATACCCAGAATGTTTAAATGCAGATTGTTTTTAGGAAATAATAATATAATTGCAATGGACCCTCTGAGAAACTCTTATTATGTCCCTAAGATGACCATTGTATCTGATAACAGAAATAAACATACTTTTGATTCCTTACGTAAGATGACGACATCCATGCAAATTAAAAATGGTACAGAATCTTGAATGGTCGTTTTAAAGAGAATTTTCCGATTATTTGCTTAAACATTCGTTAAAGACTCAATCATATATATTTCTGATTCCATAAACGTTTTCGAAGCCGTAGATGTTAGATATATCATCAGTTATTCTTTAAGCGACTGTGTACAATTCTAAATATAATTTTGTGTAAATTTATTTTTTCTTAACATTAATGTACAGGTAACAGTCATTACGAAGGGAGATAAAGAAAGACATTTGTGAGGGCAATTTGTCACAGAATCAGAGCAACGCGGAATCAATGAAATAGATTTCAAAAAGTGGAATTGGTCAAAACCCACAGTACTTTTAGTCATCATATCGATTTCATTGTCTAGCTGTTACTGTTTCACTTCTTCGTATTTATATGCCCATGTCATTATTTATATAAACTTGAGTTTTATTCCTTAAATACATTAAATACGAAAGCAAATTTGAGTAATTTTTGTGTAGAAGGACTGTACATCAAATTTTTTAAGTTATTTTTGGCAGATTAAAACATGTTCAGGAAAATCTGTAAATTTCCCTTAATGGTCTAAAGCAATATTTAGAAAATAAACGCACATAGCACAATTTTGAAAATACATTGCTTGAAATTTATATAATCAAAAAAGTTACTTAATTTTGGAAAATCATGTTCCTCAGATTCAAAATATTTTTTTATTTTCAGGAACATAATTTAAATTTATTATGTTTTTATAATACATGTAATAAGGGAGTTTCGCCAACTTGATCAAATTTAATGACTTTTTCATCACCCGAATTATGACTTTCATTTATATATACTTGAAAATTATTAAAAAAACTATAATACTTATATTTAAAAATGTGTAGCACTTTCATTTCGTAAGCGGTGATTAAAAGTAATGTAGAATAATACAAATTTATTGTATGCTGTTGGTATGGCTTAAATTTACTTTATTAGTGCATTATTACGTCATACTTACATTGGAAACATAGAAAAATTTGTATTGAATATTGGATTATTGCATATTTAAATAAAGACTCATTAACATTAAAAAATTTGGGTATTTAATCAAAGTTGTGAACCAGAGCTGAAGAAAATAAAAATATTGTTCTTTTTGGTCGAGTTATCTATCAGACATCAGGCATCATAGAGATCTTAGTCGTAAGAAAATGAGCAGTGCTGGCACATTTTTTACGATTAGATTTTTACATTATACGATTAGACGTAAATTATCTTAAGAGCATGAACATATTACATGATAGTAATATTCTTTCCTCAAAAAATATGACTCCGAATTCTCGATCATCTGTGCGCGAAATACCCATTTCGCATATAATTTGTTCATCGATCTTCAAAACACTCTCTGATTATTAACAAAGGCAAAAAGTTTACGATTTTTTAAAAGAGACTCACATGTTTGACGCACTGAATCATAGCCTAAAATGTACTTAAAAGATTATCATTTATGTCTGGAAAAACTGAATCTGAAACTATAATTTTTTTTTTCTTAAAGATGAAGAAAACAGTATCGGGCGTCTTTGAAATTCCTTGTGGTGTTGAAGATTTGAAAATAAATGAAGATAGAAGTGATGATAGAAGGAATAGGAAAAATAAGTGTATAAGATTTATTTCAGATAAGACTGGTGATACAGTTACTCGGAACAAAGTAGTTGCGAAATACTGAACTCAACAAGGAAAATGAAAAAGAAGCGATGGCCACGATGATTTCTGGAATGTATAAAGAAGTTTTCAAACCATGTAGATGATCAAATTGAAAGCGGCAGCGGGCTTCTACAAACAGGGAAAGTTGATCCAAAGGTATTTGATAAATGATTCTTTTACCTCAGTAAGAACGTTTCTGAGTTGTCGGTTGAAATTACATGCTAGCGGTACAACGCACAAATACTATTTAGCCAAGGAATGGAATGCTTTTTCTGTTTGTTCGAGTGTTTCTCTTTGTACATGGCGTATCTTCTGCACTGATGGGAATATTATAAACCACATAGCCTTCAGGGCACAGGTGGCCAAAACTCCAGAAGTGTTCTGCTTAATTTCTCGTTTACTGATCCATTCTCACAGTTGCCAACCCGACATTTTCCAACCAAAACGGTATTACCACGGTACAAAGCAAAAGAGTTAGCAGCAGTAAAAAGTAGTATAATTAGTTGTAAACGATTTCCTTCCCTGTTTTTACCTCCACCATTTGTTTAGCCGCTGGATGCAACCATGTGTGTCGTAAAAACATCGTTTTGTAGCGTCCTCCTACCTAGCAATTCTTTTTTCCCCATACTAGAGGATATTCTTCCGAAAAACTAAAATTTATGTTTTAAGAAATGCAATCAACAATTAAGCGAACTGTCCAAAGAAGATATTTTAAATTTTTCATCTGGCAAAGAGTGGTTGAGATATTTTTGTGGGTTTAAGGATATGAGGAAACAATTGGAAGCTCCTGATTTTAACAATGGAACCATTAGGGTGACACTACCGAGAAGAAACTTATCCAGTTTTTTAACTCAGTACCCAGAAATAAAAGCTGCAAGCGTTACGTTTGCTGAAAATTTCCCAATTACTTTCATCTTGCATGCAGATTCTCACTTTTTTTTACGAAAAAAATATCTGTTACTGTTAAAGAAAGAAAAACTTTCACCTTATGAATAAAATAGTTAAATTCGAAATGTAGGGAGCTAAATTATTTATTAAAACATTAACTACTGTAATAAACTCACAAATCAATATTCTGAAACTTTAACGTGCAGTGCATAAAGCACTTAATTCTCTCCCTTAAACAATTATTGATTTTTTTCTCTTTAATTGTGTTTCTTACATCCAAAAGGTTTTAATATGTTGATGATGTATATTAATAGAATTATATAATATACTTTAAGTGTGAAATATGCACTAACATCTAACATGCATTAAAATAATTGTTTCACGGAATCAGCGCGAATTCATGAATATTACTAAACTGAATAAGGATAGCATAGAATATAATAAGGAGCACTAAAATTAATAAGGACAGCATGCAAAATGAATGAACACTATATACATTTCCACACATACACACATCATTGCCGCAACACATTATATAAAAATTAAACATGTTTGAGCATTCCTACACTCCAGAAAATTATGTTATCCGAGTATATACAGCTAAAAATATATAATATGAATCACAGCCAACATACTAATCAAGCCTTGAATGAATATTAAAGAGAACGCATATCGAAATGTGAAAAAACACTCTACAAAGTTATAAATTTATATGCAAGATTCTGTCCCTTTTATTACATGTTTATGCAATAAGAAACACTGTAGAGTTTTTATGGTGGGAAAAAAAGGTACAGAAGACTGCAAGTGAAAAGGTACAGAAGGTACAGAAGTGCAAGGTGAAGAAAATGTTTTGCCATGGTGCTTAGTTTAGTGAGTAAAGGAATCATTTAAACAAATGGTGTATTGTTCACAGTAGTGTAATTGGATAAAATATAACTTTACATTTACCTCGCAATTCATCTCGCAATGCTTGGGGTAATTCAGATCATATCTTTCTATTGCAAGCAATTGGCCATTTAAATACAAAAAGAAAATGTACTTGAAACGCTTCATTCATTAAAACGCCGCCGAAAGTAAAATCTTTCCAATGTTGATAAAACATATTTCAAATCTTTATCATTTGTTAAACTGCTCATTAACGCTGTTCTAGACATTTAAATAAGTAACCGGGATGTAGATTTACTATTCAAAGGAAGACAGAATTTTATGACTCTCATACCTCGCAGATTATAATTTACGGCAGTTATTGTTCTGGAGAATCCGTTTGAAAACAAACGTTAAAAAAATTTGCTTTACTTTTATAGGCAGATGGTGAATAGGTATAGATAAAGTTCATTTAATGCAGAATAGCTTTTAGAGAAGTTGTAATCATACCAGAGCATACAGGATCAGTTCCATTCCATGTTCCATCAGCACTGCAGAATCTTCGCTCTTGGTTACTCAGGTAATATCCTTCATTACATTCATACGTTACCTCTGCCTCGTAGTTTATGGAAGAATATATAGCTCGCCCATTTTTCGGGCTTCCGGGAACAATGCAAGTTACTCCTGAAATAAAAGTGAAAAATTACAAATCAGGTAGAAACTTTAGATGTCTCAGTTTCTTTTAAAAAACCAAATATTTTATTCTTCAATTCATGGCATATAAGGACAAACACATAGCGGAAAAATATCTTATTCGATAACTGTCGTCCTATAAAGCAACATAGGAGAAAAGAAAGCAAGGGGAATACATTGCAATTGAAAAGATTTTATAAGGTATTTCTCCCGCTTTCTTAGCGTGCCTTCTTGGTGTAGTGGTTCTGCACCCTGCGCCGGTATTCCAGAGGTCCATGGTTCGATTCCCGGCGAAGGCGGTTGCTAATTTTTCATCTCTTCGGCTTCCAAAAAAAATCCTAATGTCTCTATAGTGGCGCCCGAACTAAAAGGGTTTTGGATGAGGATTCTCCACAGCCAGGATGTGGCGATTGGGTCCACTAAAAACCCCAGTCGCCCTTTAAAAAGGGGAGTATATATGGTATTTCTCCCGCTTTCCTAGCGTGCCTTCGTGGTGTAGTGGTTCTGCACGCTGGGCCGATATTCCAGAGGTCCGTGGTTCGATTCTCGGCGAAGGCGGTTGCTAATATTCCATCTCTCCGTCTTCCAGAAATATATTTAATATCTTTCTATAACTTCATAGAAAATAAAGCAATGTAAAAACTTTGCATATTAAGCAGTGGTGGCACAAAATATCGTGGTTAAAGGAAAAAAGCACCTACAAATCATCGCATGTAAATAACATTTCAGACATAGGTTTTTTCGGACGTAAAATATGTTAAGTGAAACTTCGCGTGTTGATAAATAAGCAAAAGGAGAAATAAGTAGTAATTTTACTTCTATGGTTCATATTTTTCTATTATTTTAACTAATGAAATTTTAATGAAAAAGTAAAAAGGAAATTTTTACATTCAAAATGCAAATTATTAACCATTAATGCTACGTATAGTGTTTACCAGAATTTAAACTTGTGTTGCTATTTATTAAAAGTCATTATTTGATTAACCTCTTATTTAAAGATATGTTATTAAATTTTTCATGAACAATGAAAACAATTTCATGAACCTTTGAATTATAAATAGGATTAGAAAGAGGAATATACATAAATTCTACTAACTGCTATACGTCGCGTTAAGTTCTGCTATTTTCCATGTTTTTGTATGCTAATAAAATTTCTTTCTTGCTGTTTCAGTGAAAATTTGTTAGTTAATACGAATGTATGAAATATAGTGTTAAAATATTGCATATTTCTTCTTGTGGTCATAAACCATTATGTGAAAATTCCCACAGATTGTTTAGCCAGAAAACGCATCTCTGTGAATCTTATCATCATGCGATGATCTGTGGATTTCCCTATTTTTTTATTTTCTGTTCGATGGTGTTTTAAAATCACAAAATTCTTACACCAATCCATCACGTTGTTTTAAACCATTGATGTGTTAGAACTGCCATGTTTCTCCTTTCTGTTCTCTCATGATGTTTTGTACAACTTTTTCTCTTTGCTATGTTTGTCTGCGAGAAAAGACTGGAAAAAATTGTGTGTGCCAACAACTTAATGCTGCGTGGTAATTCTAAACGTATACTACTAAGTTGCTTTTAAAATTTTTTGTAATTTTGCTATTAAATTGTATATGGCGTAAGTGCGAAGAAAATGATGCTTAATAATAAAGCTAAAAAGACAAAAAAAATTGTATTAGTAGGAGAGAGACCTCTCTCTGCAATTTATGCTGAAAGAAAAATGCGAAATATTCTTTTAACTGAAAATATTAAGTACAGTGATTATACCCACGTACCATGTAAAAGTTCTCGAAGCTACCTGAGGATATTGTTTCTTACATCCTTAGGACATCCTGAATATTCGCGAAATCTTCTAATGCATTGCAATAAATACCTGAAATTTCACATTTCAACATATCCTTTTGACATCCTGTCTAGGCCTCACTAAAGGCATGTTGGGATAATGTAAAGTTCTCTTACTCCGGAGGTTTTGATTTGACAGCCGAATATGCAGGGGCATTTGATCGGCCGAATATATACTTATTTTCAAGAGTAACTGTTTGAGTTGTTATAGTAATATTTTTACTACCATAATAGGACTTTTTTTCCTCTTGAAGCTGAAAGCTCTATGGTGTTACATTTTATAAAACTAAAACAAAATATACTGCATTTACTCGCATAATTTCCGCCCTCACGTAATCCTCCAACTCTTTATGAAAATTTGTTAAATATTCAAGTACTTTTTACCTTCCTAAGGGGACATGTGACATGTCAACTGGCAAACTGCAACTATTTCGAGACGAAAGTTATTAAGGTATAACTTTTCTCAAAATAAACTTATACACTTGATTCTTTTTACTTCCTTGTACGAAGTAAAAATGAAGTAATGTAATCGCGAAAACTTTCAGGCAGCATATTTCAACGAAAATATCCATTTTGACCGCTATCGAATGCAATTTAACGATGTTTTTGCGTGATATCTGTACGTAAGAACACAATAAAAGACTCGTTTCCTCCAAAAAAATTATAAAACTGCTTTAATATTAATTTTGGAGAGAATTTTCCGTGGCGTCTTTACGAACGTATGGACGTATCTCGTATAACTCAAAAACGAGTAGCCTCAGAACGTTGAAATTTTGTATATAGGGTCTGCTATAACATGTAGATGTGTGCACCTCGTATTTTGGTTTCAATCGGCCGCAACTAAGGTATATAAATATATTTATATATATATCCACTCTGTTACCCGGCTCAGTAATCTCAGTTTCTTTACTCTTATATGTTTGTAAATTGTACATTTTTTGCTTTAAAAATGATTGAATTATGTTGTTTTTATCTTCTGGTTAAGGTTTTTATGCCTTTAGTAAATCTGTATGCAATATTTTGAGAATTATCAACAATTTTAAAGTTGTCTAAGTGCCGCTAAGCCTTTTTATATGGCGGCCATTGATGTTTACATTTGAAACAGAGACTAGTGGATTTGTTGCCAATCTAGAGAAACGTAGCTTCGCAACAACAAAGCTAACGCCTTCATTTATTATTGCGATTAAATCATGCTTAATCCTTTCTGGAATTTTTTCGAGGAAATAAGTGTTTAAGATTTACTTCGTAATTTTTAATATAGATATTTTGAGTTTTTATGTATTTTTGCCTTCTCGAACTGTGAAAAACTGTTTCTTTTTTGTTTTGTTTGCTTAATTTCTTTTATACATCATTCTAGCTTTATTATAGTAGTTGAATAGAACATGTGGCAACGATTAGATAATTCTGCTTTTTAAGTGATATAAATTTTGTGCATTATGAGTTATAATATGAACGAAATATAATAGTGTTAAGTGAATCTAGTGCCAGAATGTCGCTATGGTAAACACCTACTGCAGTGAATTTTAAAGAATGCATTTATTCTATTGTGGTTTATGCGGTGTCGGCGAAGTAGATTTAATTCAATCCAATAAGTTTAAATGAAATGCAAGAAAAAATGCATATAATTTAATATTCCGTACAAGAAAGTCATGTGGTGTACACATCAGATTTTTTTCATTTAAAATGCATAGATTACAGATTACAGAAAACACATAAAATATATATTAAATGCCTAATATTTTTAAAAACCATTTGTTTAATTTCACTTACCTTTGACGAATCTCTTCTGACAATCTGCTTCACTCAAGAGCCAAAACATTATGACCACCTGTCAATAACGAGTTGGGACACCTTTGGCGCGCAACACAGCTTCAACCTGCCTTGGCATGGATGCCACAAGTCCTTGATAGATAGCCGGAGGCAGATTGTACTAGATGTTGTAGCAACTGTCACGCAAATCCGAGATATTGCGAAATGGTGGTCTTTGACCTCTGAGCTGCCGTCCCATGACATCCCAAATGTGTTCTATCGGATTGAGATCCGGTGAGTTAGGCGGCCAGGACATTAACTGGAAATCAGCATCATGTTCTTGGAACCACTCCAACACAATTGTAGCCTTGTGACACGGGGCTGTTGGAATGTCCTGTTGGAACATTCCATTTCCAGCTGGAAAAACTGAGGCCATGTAAGGATGCAACTGGTCCGCAATGATGTTCAGATACCCTGTAGCATTTATGGTCTGTTCTATCACAACCACGGGTCCCAGAGACGCCCAAGAGAACGTCCCCAGAGCATAATACCGCCACCACCGGCCTGTGTACGACCTACTGTGCAATGAGGGAGCAACTATTCTCCTGGAAGACGGCATATCTTGACACGGCCATTGGCGTGATGAATGACAAACCGTGATTCGTCTGACCAGGAAACTCTCTCCCACTGATCCATGGACAAGCCGCGATATTCCCGGGCCCAGCGCAGGCGCAATTGGCGATGATGCTTGGTCAGCAAAGGCACACGAGTGGGACGTTTGCTGCATAGCCCCATATCCAACAATGTCCGCTGAACTGTGTGCTCCGATACTTTTCTACTTGGCCCTGCATTGTATTCGGCTGTCAGCTGAGCCACTGTCTGGCTCCGGTTTTGCTTTAATATGCGAGACAGTCTCCGACGACCTTTTTCTTTGATAGCGTGTGGACGTCCAACACCATGTCGTCTACTGCTGGTTTCACCGTAATTCATCCACTTTTCATACGTACTAACAACTGTAGATCACGAACAATCCACGAGTCGTGCAGTTTCGGAAATACTTGTTCCGAGCCTTCGAGCCATTACAATCTGCCCTCTATCAAAGTCCCTTAGATCCGCAGCGTTTCCCGTCACACACAGAAGTAAGTGAAAGAATGATTCTTCAGGTATGAATTGGTATGAATTGAGGTATCTATGAGTATATAGTCCTGGGGACTTTTACTCAGAAATTATTTACCCTGCGGGGTACGTCTTAGTGAGAAGTAAATCCACTTTATTTAAAGTGGAAAGTTTCTGGTGAAAACATCGTCGCATGGGTGTCGCCATCTATTGGAACATCAGGAAGTAACAAGAAGTAAAATTTTGAACTTAGATTTCCTCTTCTGCGAAATCAAGAGCAATCTTCA